TATTGATTAATCGTCGGGATGCTACACATACCAAACAACAAGAAATAGTTCCAGTCAATGATTTCAGTTCCGACTAAGGCGTCCCATAGGTCTAAACGGTGACAGATTATGGAAATGTGATGAATGATATAAACCAGCTACTCAAGAGAACTCAACTATCAAGTCATATCAGTGACCGATCTTTTAGACACATAGAAATAAATCATGACAATCTCATAAACAGCTGTAGTAAAACTTTGAATTCTTCGGATTGATTGGTGTATGCATTCCAGCTAGTGAACCACTTCTTTGTCACTCTATAATATAACGTTTGGTATCAGGGTAGCTTATACAATTCTCATCATCTCCTATGTATACAGTAGCATCTACCATGATGTATAAATTATCAGAAACTCGTGGTGCTGCTTCATATAATATATCCATTGTTGGAACTTGCGCTTAATGTGAAACTTCTCCTTTCTGCTGATGTCTTTTTGTTCCATTGTTTGTTCTCGAGATGCATAGGCACCAATAGTACATACTGTATTTTAGATAATTCCCTAACAGATAATTTCCATTTTTCAGTTCAAATATAAGCTGTGAAAGGTTAATTTGAGTGTTATCAAACATTCACGTCAGAGGTACCATGTTCGGGGAGTTCTTTCCACCTTTCTATCGAACAAATACACACAGAGAATCGAATTTTGTCACATTTGCTCTCAGCCGCGTTTTTACCGCCTCAAGATTGCTCCTCGCCGAGAGCTTGCCACAACTAACTGAGATCAGCTTCATTCACATTCCAACTGTTAGCCAATCATTACAGAGAAGTTTTAAGAGCTCGAGGCGTGGCCTCCACACATATAGCCAATCACGCAAAGTATTCAACACGCCATAATGTCAGATTAATTGCCCCGATGTCGGGACATAACTCTCATACTTATCGTCGCTACAAGAGCTAAAACAACACTTCATAGTTGAAAATTATATCAGCCAGTTGTTCCACAATCACTAATTCCCTAACATACGAATGAACCTGATCATGACAAGTTACGAGCAGGTGTGGATCATCCAGGGGTCACCAGTGAAAGTTGCTATAACTACAAAAAGCGGCATCACCTAAACACATGGAAATATAAATCATGACATACCTACAGATTAATACGCTTGGTTACTTGTGTGGGGGGAAGGGACGTTTTTCTCATGGTGCGACTAATTATTCTGGCGTAGCCATTTTATTCTATAAATTCTACATCACTGATGTTGTACCATTATAAAATTAATATTAAGCTTGTCATATCATAGGTTTTGCCACATTTCACATTTATAAGCACATACGCGGATATTTGTAGCGCAATCCTATTAAGACCCTGCGACTCAGGGCAACATAAAGAATACAAATCAAGTCGAGTGCTTGGTCATTTATGTTATTGAAAATGCATAATATTTAAATGTAAAGCTTTCAAACATTTGCAAACGTGGGATATCCAGAAAGTAAAATCAAAGCGTTCTCGCAGGATTATACAATTATAAACGGTGTATATAGAGAGTCAAGCCGGCCATAGAAAATTAATTCAATAAAATAGTCTCTTGTCCATACCAGGCGCATACTTGACCTTAGGGTGTGAGCAGAATTTATGGCAGGGGGGTGAGAAATTATTTTGTTTTACTTTTGTATCACAGCCCTCCCAACTTGCTGCATAAAAAAATTGGCAGTTCCCCCAACCAACCACCTATTATTTTCATGACCCCCTCAAATAACCAGTTTTCCAATATGTTTACATTCCATGAAGAATACCTGTGATCATGCATTTACAATGATATGTGGCCATATTATATGCTGAGATACACATTTATCCCTCACGGGGTTTCCGTTCATG